GCTCGCAGTGACGATATAATAATAACTTCCCCCAAACGTGTTAAACCAAAAGTAATGAGCCTGATTTGAAAATGTAAGGAGTATAAAGTATAGATATTTGTTTAAAAATGTAGGGAGTAAAAGTAAAAAGTAGTCTGAAAAAAAATACTAATAGAACAGACACCTGAAAATTGTACGTAAATACAGTAACAAAGTATTTGTACTTGGTTTCTTCCCACCGCTGTCAACAACCAAGCCACATTCAGATCCCTTAAATGACCTTTCTTCCCCATTCTGATGCTCGGGATAAACTTCAGCAGGTGATCTTGACAATGTTTACGTGCTTAAATGGAACAAGCTGCTGCCACGTGATTGGCTGAGAGTTGTGTGAATGAGCAACGGAAAAATGTGGGTAGTAAGTAAAACTGATTTTGTTCCTTGTGTCAAACAACTGTTCTGCTCTACAAAGAAGAAGCCAGATGTCTGGTTAAAATATGTGAAAACATATAAAATATTTTAAAAATTCAGTGCCAAGGAAACATTTATATTTCTTAGAGCAACAAACGACAGGGCAGTCGTTTAGCTGAAGCTAAGTCGATTAGCCTTTCAGTTAAAAGTTAAACTTAAAACCTCTTTTATGTCCTCAGCTTTAAGTACTTCTTTAATGTTGAAAGTGGGGACGACTATACTGTTCGCTTTAATTCTCCAAAACCAAAACAAAAAAAGATGATAACTATCTGAGCTCCACGATCAGCCTGTTGGAAAACTGATTTTCTCACAGCTTGTTTAAAGTGCACACCCACCGCTGCCTAATGAACACTTCATTTGAAGTATCAGGCACTCGACCTACAATCAGTCTGTTGTTTTAGATTCGAAATGGAGAGACGCTTCATAGTCACCTCACACCATCAATGTTTAAACCATAACCACTGTACTCACACACAGACACACATCTTCTACCTTTGTGTGAAGGTTTATTTGCCTATTTGAAAGCTGATAACAGTGGTGCGAGGCCTAAAACAGCTGTTTTTGTGAATGTGAAAATGCTTAATTATACCTATAAATCATCCGCAGCATGTAAACAACAGCTTTTTTGAGGAACAAATTCAACTACATTCATTTTTTTTTACATAGTGTGAATTCACTAGAAGAGCTGACTAAATAAAAGAGGTTTCTTTTTTTAATGTTTTGCCTGCTTATACAGTAATAGTATAAGAGCAGTTTCATTACAGAATCAAATCCACTGTAGTGTTTTACTCAGTGTTTAGGAATCTTACCCCTAAATACACGATTAGTTCTGAGATCACTTGGTGCATTTCACATCCCACAAGGGACCTGCAAACATTTACATTTCCATTTATTAATACACAAACGCCCATAGGTGTCGTTAGCAAGTGATTATGCGGTAATGTATTATGTATGAGGCGTGGATTGACGGGCATGTTGAGACTCTGGGGCATGACGGTCTCCATTCTCTAAAAAGACAAAAAAACATGTTAGATCTCTAACGCTCTAAAATGATAAATACACTAAACGGTTTTGTACAGCACACATGAAGAAGAACTACAGGCAAAACCATTTTTTCTGTTGCCATTTTTTCCATGCACACTGATGTTATCTTAAAATAGTTCTCCTAGTGGACATTTATGCAAATTAGTGCAAATACGAAGCTAAATCCTAAAAAAACTAAATAAATAGATAAAATGTCCAAGTTAGTCAGTGATGTTGCATTTTTTGCATGTAAAAAAAACCCCAAGGATATCTGAAGGACATCAATTTATTTGTTTGTTCCTGAATTTAAATGTCTGGAAAATGTTTTTTAAAAATGTTGGGGTTTTTTTGTTTTATTTTGGAATATGTATAGAGTGTTTGAATATTCAATATTCAAAACCTTTTAAACACCTTAAACTTTTAAACCATTTTTTATCCAGTTCTCAGATTTATAATTATGAAAATGTATATATTTTAAGAAAAAATGCCTCATTTTATGTGTCTGTAAGTGTCGTACAGAAAAATGCCAGAAAGGACAGGTTACGAAAAATCGCATTGTGTAGCGCTGTTGAGCAAGCGTTTGTCTTTGCACCGCTGAAATGACAGCTGCCCCAGGACTAAGTTTGTGTGTGTAATGTGCATCTGCGAAAAAAAAAGTGTTTTCTGAATTTTGACCCCCATATATCACGGCTAGAGCCCGAAATTACCTGTCAGAACAAACTACCGGCACCACGCCTTTTCCACACACACACACACACACACACACACACACTAACACACTGATAAATAAGTGCTAAAGTCTTTTAAGGCACACTGTTCTCCACAGGAAGGTGAGCAGCACACTGTAAATCTGTCATGACAGAACTTCCTCTTAAGGGGGGATATTTCTCTTGTTTCTAACATGCGCGTGCACGCGCACGAGCACATGTGCACGCGCCGTATTTTATATGGAGTACAGGTTGTCACTCGGCCTGATTGCTGCGCTGGCCAGCGCTCTTAGTTGGTCATTTGTCTCCTGTTTTTATTTAATTTTATTTTTTATTACTTGGCACACCATATTCATCTTGGATATGTCACAGTGGATTTATCATCACGGCTGACACGAGCAAAGTGACTGAGGTAAAACTTCACTAAAGGCCCGAAGCTATAGTAGTACAGTATAGTAGCTATAGTAGTAGTCACTGAGTGAAGGATTTTTTTAATATTTTTTTTTGTAAATTCAGCAATAACTATTTATAATATTCCCATCAAAACAAGTTACTTTCAATTATGAAATGGTTTCTGGCACACTTAGGGCTGGAAGGAGCATCTGCTTTAAATCTAATTGTTGTGACAAACCACAGTGGAGTCTGAGAGGTGCTCAAGCAAACAAACAATAAATCTCAAGTTGAACACTAGCCAGATGCTCATAAGATAATAATACCATTATTGACATCTTGCTTACAAAAACACACCTCCTGAAAGACTGGGATAAATACTGTGCCTAAAGGAAAATACTGAAATATGTGCCACATACTGTATATTTGCACTTACATCCCATCTGCTCACCTCTCTGTGCGTGCATCTGTGTACTTGCATGTCTGTGAGCTGACCGTGTCTTCATGTCTTCCCTGACAGCTGATGATGGTCCAACAACCCACACTTGCCATCGCCCTGACCTACCTTTAACCAATCGTGTTTTCTCTTGTTCTGGCCTCAGAGCCCTATTGGCTGAGTTCTCTCACCCACTACAGTGCCATCTGTCGAAACTGATCACCTGTGTAACAACCTTAGGCAGCAGAGCACGCTGGGAACAACGTCAGCTGGCTCTTGATGTTTGGTGATTCTGTTTGATGCGTCTGTGTTTCCAGACAAAATGAGACATAGATCAGGTTGTAAGTTAAGATGCAATCCGTCCTACTTTAATGACTCCTTCTGCAAATGACCGCTGTTTTGAGCGGAAGCTCGTTAATTGGTGCCAGTCAGCACCAGTAACTACCCTGTTACCTCTGCGACTTTAGGGTTGTTATGGCTCCAGATGAAATTCGGGGTGGCATTTGGAAGGTGTGGGAAGATTCAGACAGAAACATCATCAATAATGATGAAAAGCTGGTAGAGATGTAGGTGCGCAGAGAAGAAAGCTCTGCTGTGACCTAGCCACAAAGAGCCAATTAAAATGCATCATATGGCAGAGTGAACTGACCAAAGGGAATAAAAAAAATCTCAGACTTCAAACTCAAAGCACTAAACCAGTATTATCCCAGCAGAGAAAGAAAATTGGAACTTTAATTCTAAAAGCTGATGTTACATGAAGGGAAAAAACCCATCACTGTGTTACAGCTGAGCAGCTGCTGGGCTCTTTTCCTCATTCTGTTTTTGCACTAAGCCATGCAACCTTCTCTGAGATTCTGTCAAAGCCAAATATTCAAACTTTTGCTCCAATGCCATCATCAGCACATACGGACATGATGGTTAAATCAGCTGTTTCTAAAAATTCTTATTCTTGTTGGGTTTTAAGAATTCATCCAAGACAAAGAGCAGCGGCGTGATTTCTGTGTCGACTCAAACGCTGGATCACTTAAATCAGATGAAATATTATATTGATTTACTGTGTTTGGCAAAATGTTCTGCACACTGCTAAATATCAAACACATCCATATGGCTTCATGTGTAGCTAAATTGTTTCTAAATCGCTCCCCAGACTAACCGTTTTAGTTGCAAGATAAGTAACAGTAGGCACAGACAGGCGAGGTTTTTCCTCCCTGGAAATACTTCGTAGAATCAAGTTTTACCCTTTAGACATGCAAATTTTAATTTCACACATCATTATCTTAAAAAAAAATTACAATATTGGGATGTAAACACAGGTTGCGCGACTGTGTGTGTCCCTCCTTCCTCTGCCAGATGGAAAGCCAGACAGAGCTGGCAAGACCTGCACCATCTCCCACTGGCTGCTGCGGGGTTGAGCTCATGAGAAGGGGAATAGAAGAGAGTGAATGAGAGATGGTGGAATAAATGAGAAAAGAACAGAAGGACTCATCAAGGAGCTCTTCAATTTTGGAGAGCACTCATTTGTAGCGGCCTCCCGCTGTTTCCCCCCAGTCTCGATTTCTTCCCTGCCCCTGTTTTTTCACTGCCTACATCACAAGCTCCCCTCTCAACTTCCATTCACCTCTTTTTCCTCTCTGTTTTTAACTCCTACACTTCCTCCGTGCTTCTTCCTCTATCTCTCCATCCCTTGCTCTCGTATCCAATAATTGCATCTTTTCTCGAATGGCAATCTTCAGCAGCAGCTCGGTGAAAGCTTCTCTCTAATTAGCGAGGATAAGGGTGAAAACAGAAGTTGGAGGGAAAGAGTCATCCATAAAAAATTGCTCATGCTAACTCGGGGACTTTTCAGATGCTTTTAAATTACACAAATCAAAAAAACACCAATATTATTATGCTCCTCTTTCTGTTCTATTAGTGCTCCTCAGACTCACACGTACTTTATTTGTTAATAATCATTACAGACAAAAGAACAACAACAAAGAAATAAACTCTTTGCTTACTTATGAAGTGCACTGGGAGGCAGCTTGCTTGTCTTCTCCATCTGGCCGTAACAGGACGTCTTGGCTTCAGGGATGTCGCCGTACTCGTCCAACATGGCTGCCGCCGCTGACGTTATGATGCCTATACCGTCGCGAACACGGGCCTCCAGCGGGTAGTCCCAGTCATCGTACGACACCGAGATCATTCCCGACGGGAATGCTTCTGGCGTTATTTCTGGGTTGCCGGTGGTGAGCGATGGCACAATCCAGATGTATCCGAAACCAGTGAGGCCCAGAGAGCGAGCCTCCTCCAGGATGTACACCGCCTCATCTTTGGAGCAGTACAGCAGGACCACCGGAGACTGGACCTTCTTCAGCATGATCTGAGAACGGCTGTCTTCCTCCACGGCATCCAGAGTGATGATATTCTGCAGGTCCCAACCCACAAAACTAAAGCAAGGATAACGAGAAGAGGAGTGAAATGTTAATATTTAACTAATAGACTATTAACTTTGCTCAGGTGCTGGCAAGGGCAGTTACAATTATCCATTATAATTAATATCACTGTTAAGTGCGACGTGAATTCTAATAGATGTAAAGTGCTTATTGTCAGAGGGAGAGCACATTAAGCACAATAAATTGAATGAAGCTGGTCCAGTAATGATTCTCAGCTGGTTCCAGCCTACACACAGTTAAAGGACAAGGTGAAAAAACACCGCCCTGATAATAAACATCCAAAGCAACGCCTGTGGCCATTGGGCTAATTGGTGACACTGGCGATAACATAACAGTGAAGTGATCAAAACATAATGCAGCTTCTGTCACCTTTTACACAAAAAAGGGTAATACATATTGATTTGCCACAGCGCAATCATGAGGCTGATACTTTATAGAGTGTCGAAAGTGCAGCAAAGGAAAGCAATCATGTAAAATTTCCAAAGATTTTTTTTTCTTGTAATTCAGTAGCCAGTTAGCTAAAGTGGTCAGAGTGAGAAAAAGCAAGTGCTCATTAAAAAAGATTATGAATTTATAGAGCATCTCTCTCATCCAGTGGGACTGGCTGCTCTTTTTCATAATGTCACGAGTAATAATAATCAGAAGGTCCCAGTACATGCGGCTAAAGACCAGCAGAAACAGAGGGAAACGGCACTTATGATCGCAATTAAAGAACATAATGTGCGATAAACTGGCTGTTTTCTGCGGTATCACAAGTTGACAGCAGTTACGAACAGGCAGAGTGAGGATTAGGGAATGATGCTCGCATTCACACAAACACACGCGCACAAAAACACACACATACACAAGAGAGAGTGAGGAATACAAAGTGTGACACACGATAGGGCAAAGATGGCAGTTAACCATTGTGTAGGACCCTTCAATGGACAGGTGGTGTAACATGAGAGTGATTTGGGACTTCCTGGCCTCTTCTTGCTTTTCAAAGTGATGACAGGTTACTTGTCCCAGATGACAAAGCTAATAGAGAGAAAATGATCCACATGCAGACAAGTACACACATACACACCCAAGGAAAAAGACACAGTGCATGCTGCTGAATGCTGTATTATCAGAATCAGAATCAGAATACTTTATTGATCCCTGGGTATTCTGATTCTGATAATACAGCATTAGGCAGCATGCACTGTGTCTTTGCTGCTGAATGCTGTATAATATATAATATATAATATAATATAATAATGCTTATAAGTAAACAGAAATAGATAACACCATATTCTGTGTTTGAGACGATGGAGAACACACCGGTCTCTATTGGTCCAGCTCATTTACATTCCCATCCAAAAACTCAATGCAAACTCATTTAATCTGCAGATTACACAGAGAGACCACCTACCCACCTGCACTCAGCTGAGATGAGAAAATACACGCCCTGGTCCTCTAGAACTATATTTCACACTAAGATGTGTTCACACACAGGTCAGGCTTGTCCCACTGAATTGTTTGATTTCTTGCCTACAATTTATGGACATTTGGTAGTATTGAGATTCTGACCTATAACTTAGTCACTTTAAAATAATATACTGGTAGCATGTACCCGCAGGTCACTGGATTAACATTTCTTAGGTTAATATATCCGGGCATCCTTTTAAGTCAGACATGCCCATGTTATAGTATTGTTTGGTCTATCCATGCTGCTGGAAAACTGATATGTTTAACACTTTAAAAAAATTAAAAAGAGGGAAAAGAGGTTGTTTTAAAGATAAACATGGGGTTTGTTTAAATTAAAATGTGTTTATATCTTCTGTGTGTATGATTAAGGGACCACGTCTACCATCCATGGTCAAAATAACTGTGATACACCACTCATCAGCCAGGCACTGTTCACCTCCATTAAACATATAATGAAAAAATGGTATATACATGTTTTTAAAACTGAATATAGATCTACGTAGTAAAAGATCACCAAATAACTGAACTTCCATTCTGATTACACCTTCATATGTCTCATTGTTTAATCTACATGTCAATAAAATGGACCTGATAAAAGTGCATAAAATGAATTTTATAGCCTGGACTAAATCAAATGGCTTCAAAGCCCCTTGCCTTTAAGCATGCTTATCCAGTCATTTATCCAACATTAAACTGTTAATATAGACCCTAAATACATTAAACCTGATGTCATAAGTTAAGGTGTCAAATGATGTAATGTAATATTGATAGTATAAACATTTGGTGATCTCAGCAGCCAATATTTGCTAAATTAGATGTTGTTATCATGGAGTTAAAATGATACAATGCTCTTGTAATATGTTACGTGTCCTCATTTAACCTGTTGGTAGGTTGCTGCTAAGCAGCACGATGACATCATAATCTCTGTTGAAGATAAAAACCTTCTGAGCTCTGAAATGTACCTGTATGCCAAGTTAGCTTGCCTAACTCCTGATCATGTAGGAGGAATATGGAGACAACCAAACAGACAGGTTTTGTGTAATATAGCTGTAGACATGGGATGGTGTCAAAAAAAAAGGGCATTTGGCATAAAACTGCCAAATCAAACGTGTAGAGCTGCTTGCTGTGGTGACCCCTTGTGACAAGGGGGCAGCTAAAAGTAGCACTGAAGTCAAGAACACTTCTCAAAGGTACAAATACAGACACTGGGATTTTAAGTTTCCTTTCTCTCCATATGAATGTATTAAACATGTCTGTCACCTGCTGCCTGTAATTAAACTGCTTTAGTTATCATCAACAAAGCACAGAGCAGGAGAAGCTGTTGAATCCCTGCTGCGTCTGACATTAAGAGTAACTGCTGATGAGAGACCTCAGGTGAGCTTTAATATATCACAGGTACAGGCACCAGTCCTCGCCTACATCTCCACAGTGCTGAACATGTATCATTAATATGACCATTTTTGCCCAAAATTATGGCGTGCTGCACTTTCCTCTTTCTCTCCGCTGAAACAAGCACCATCAGTCAGAATGACCTAAAGGTGTGGCAAACAGCCAACCTGCACGAGCAGTAAACCTACTTGTCATCCCCATTCACTGAAAGGATGCTTACGAAATTCTTTTAGGCTGGATATTTTTGAAGAGCACAATGGATGTACTTCAATTCATCCATGCGGTCAAGGCTCTCTAGTCTTCTACTGGTGTAATGTAATTTTGATGTTGTTAATTTTAATACATTGAAAGTGTTTCTAGTTAAAAGACCAAGTTGGCAGGGTTGGTTAATGCTTTGATAATCCTGTAACATGCTGTGTGAGGATTGGGGACACTTAAATGATTAGCAGTGGAAACCCACCTGCTCACTCTTTTAGAGAGAAACTGGTTGAAAAAATGGTCAGATATTTTTTTTTTTAATGCCCTGCATTCTGGTAGCACTGCAGTGTGTTGTGTTCTGAGGGAATGCACACTGAGTGGTTGGCTTCTAATCTGCATAAAGTTAAAGTCTAGGCTACTTTATTGCAAATGAGGGGCTTCTGGGTCAACTCAACACCTCCAGAAACTCCCCCAAAAAACATTTAATCTAGTTACTGATCTAAAATGCAATCAAAATCAGAAACTGCATCACTTCTTTTAACAAATGTTTTTAGAAAAACATTGTGTATGCATGAGAGAAAGTTTGCATCCACTATTATCATAAAATTAGAAATCATAATTATCGCTATGATTATCATCGTGAGTTCCACTTCTGAAACTTTAATTTAATGAATACCTGCGAACCTTAATGTCATTTAATATTTTGTGTTATGTAACACACTTAACAGTGTTACAAAAACTAAATGGTTGGATAATTGCCACATATCAAAACACACAGCATAACTGATTTAATGAGCCATTTGATGTTTCAGTGCACTGCCTGCATTCTTTAATCTTTGAGACAAGCAAATGGTCCTGTTATGATAAAACCAGGTAGCCCAATAGACAGCTGACTAGCCAGAAAATACCCAGGTCGGATGTGTGCACTGTGGGCTACTAATCCTGTGAGCCTTCAATAACCATAAATACAGAGTGGCAGTGGCAGACTGGTCCCACAGCCAGTTGTAGGGGGATGACTGACCCTGAGGGTGGGAGGCATTTCCTGTACTATACCCAGCAGCAGGAGTGGAGTTAACAGCCCCAGTTCATGGTGAAAGGATTAAAAACATATAGGGAAAAACAATGCAAGCACGAAGAACAGGCCACTCATCTATGGAACCAGCTTCCAGTTGTGATTCAGGAGATTGACACGCTCTCTACTTTTAAGATCAGGCTTAAAACTTTCATTTTTACTAGAGCATATAGGGCTGGATCACGTGACCCTGAATCCTCCCTTAGTTACACTGCAATAGGTGTAGGCTGCTCCAACCTGAGCCTGGTTTGCTGGAGGTTTCTTCCTGTTAAAAGGGAGTTTTTCCTTCCTACTATCACCAAAGCGCTTGCTCATAGGGGGTCATATGATTGCTGGGGCTTTCTCTGTTGATTAATTGTAGGGTCTACCTTACAATATGTGATTTGGCATTGTATAAATAAAACTGAATCGAATTGAATTGAACTGAGAACACACCACAGTATTGTTCTAACCTGTTGTCCACAGTAGTTTTCAAGATGTTGATGAATTCCTGGTAGCCTGGGAACTTTGATGTGACAATGGAAAAGATGTGCCAGTCATACTCCTCCATGATGTTCAGCATGAGCAGAGCCTCCTGTTGAATGGAGGCACCAAACTGAAAGAACGTTGACTTCACATCCTAGGAACAAAGAGAAACACAGAGACACAAGATTAGCTGAATATTCATTAGACTAT